AAAAAGGGCTCCAGCGGCTAGAAAATGAAAAGCTCAAGTATGGAACTCCAAACGAACAGGCTGCGGGACCCCTTTTTGCCAGATTTGGGCTGCAGGATCCCCAAAATGGGGTCCAGCAACCTGAAAAATCACACTGATACAAAGCGAACCTGCTGGACCCCTTTTTGCCAGATTTCGACGCCAAAAAGGTACAAAAAGGGGCCCAAGAAGCTTTTACAGAGGTAAAAAAAAGAGCCAAAAGTCTGCACCAAAATTCTTTTTTAAAACGGTGCCAAACTCCAAGGACACCCTTAAGGGGCACAAAGCAAATTCCAAAATAAGCTCGAATACCTTATTCTAAGGGCCCCAGTCTTTGTTTGTACCAACAACAACAACAACAACAACAACAACAACAGACAACAGACAACAGACAACAGACAACAGACAACAGACAACAGACAACAGACAACAGACAACAGACAACAGACAACAGACAACAGACAACAGACAACAGGCAACAGGCAACAGGCAACAGGCAACAGACAACAGACAACAGACAACAGACAACAGACAACAGACAACAGACAACAGACAACAGACAACAGACAACAAACAACAGCAACAGCAACCACAGCAACAGCAACAGCAACAACAACAACAACAACAGACAACAAACAACAGAAACAACAACAACAACAACAGCAGCAACAACAACAACAACAACAACAGCATGCTGTCCCTTGTTCCATGGCTTCAGCTGGTTGAATGTGTTCACTTCGCCGCTCCAGCTTATTTTTTTTTGGCTGCCCCGGGGGCGCAACACCACCATCACCACCAGCAGCAGCAGCACCACCAGCACCAACAACAACAACAACAACAACGACAACGACAACGACAACGACAACCACGACAACCACGACATGCTGTTCCTTGTTCCATGGCTGCAGCTGGTTCAATGTGTTCACTTCGGGGGAGGCGCTGCGCCCTCCCCCCAAGCCCCCCTCCAGCTTTTTTTTGTAAGGCTGCCCCGGGGGCGCACCACCACGACCACCAGCACCACCACCACCCCCAACACCAACAACAACAACAACAACAACAACGACAACGACAACGACAACAACAACAACAACAACAACCACAACGACGACAACAACAACAACAACAACAAAGGCAGTGGGCCCTGCCGGACAACAACTGCAAGCTCGCGATCGTAGATTGGTGGGAACCCAAAACACCCAAGCGGGAACCCAAAACACCGTGGGAACCAGACACACCTTTGTGGGAACCACACACACCCTCCCGGGAACTGAAAACACCATTCCGGCAAAAAAAACACCACGGGAACCAGAAACACCATTCCGGGAACTGGATACACCCAACCCAATCAATAGATTTTGAATCCACTTTTTTTTAACCAAAATTCAGTTATCCAAAGAGTTCGGAAGAGCATTTTATATTGTAAATTACAGGTGATTGTGACTCTCCTGGAAGCAAACAATCAAAACGCTCGCGCGGTTTCGCATCCGCCGGGATGTATATAACGCATCTGATGTATATCATGCATATAATGCATATAATGTATATAGTGTATAATGTATAATGAATATAATGCATATAATGCATATAATGTATATAATGCATATAATGCATAATATATATATTCTGTAAGTAATTTATATAATGTATATAATGTATTCTCAGACAAACCCATCGATTTTTCTGCCCTGGCAGTAAACAGTGTCAATGAAGCCAGCCTGTCTGGCTTCCCAAACCACAGACGTTGGGTCCCCGAATGATAAGATATGACAAGTATCCTCTTGGTATAAGACGGACCCCAGGTGGTAAAACAGGGGAGATTGGGGATAGTTTATTGTTGGGCTTACCACATGAGAATATATATACATTATATACATGATATACATTGTATACATTTTTTACATTATTTACATTATATACATTACATACATTATACACATTATATACATTAGATTCATCATTATATACATTAGAATCACATCCTATTTGCCGACAAACACATATTGGAATATAAGCAAACTGTACTGGGTATGGACATGTGACATACGTGGAGGGGGTCAAAAAACCTCACGGATGTGGTAAGTATTTGCAAAGAGTGGGTGTGTTAATCTTCACCTACCAATTTCCGGTGATATTTGGTTCTTTGTCTTGTGACCCGTCGCAATTTCCCCATCTTTGGTGGTTGATATGGGACCAACGAGTGCTCAAAGCTTCAGGCCAACGAGCCGATGTTGGTCAGACGGTGCTTTTGCGAAGAGGAAGAACTAAAACCACAACATGTTTTATAAAATCTTCTGATATAGCAATGCATAGCAACCCCAAAAAGATGGAAAAGTAATCCCCCTTTTTTCATTCCGTCTCGAAGTGGAGTCCTGGATTCTATGGACGTCTTGCGGATAACAAATAAAAACACCAGTGGGGCAGTATATAGAAAAGTCCTGCACGAATCAAATTCCCTCTGTTGAATGGAAACCCAGGGAGCACATGTTGTGAAGACCTAAAGAAAAAGGTCTTACCAGGTTTTAGTTCTGGACAACCCCCTCAATAAAGCATCTGACAATGTTTTAGCAAGCCCTTGGAAAGCTGGCACGGTCGATTCAAGGGTTGAATATGGTTGTGTAAAATGTTTCCACGATAACATTCTTCAAAGAATCAGAATCCCTAGTTTATTTTAGAGAACGCGAATCCGTGAAAAGTGCGCCCAAGTAAGTCTCTAAGGAATGATGGGGTTTTGGACAGCCCGGGTTGTCTCCAAGGGGATGAAAAGTACAGCAAATACAGCAAAACCATACTAATTTGATGATGACTAAAAAACTTTTCTACATCTTTTTACTTGTTGCAACTTTGACAAAGCGGCCGTATCCCCAAGCTCCCAAGTGTCGCACCTGCTCCTTTCTCTTCCTGAACTTTTGGAACCTGCCAACTGGCGAGTCCACCCGCGTGCGACTGGATGATGGGGAACGCGCGTAGGAATATACCATGAGAGCACTCTGAAGTGTTTCAAAACCATTGGAACCCGAAAAAAAAATAGGCAGAATTGGGCGAGATCTTTTAGCGGATCTACAAGTTCAAAACTTCAGTTTTCACAATTCTGGCCCCCCAGCAGTCTTGAAAATCACTCTGACCAAGTTGGAGAACCATCTTATTGCGTTGTGGGCCTCAAGAACAATTATATAGAAAGCCCCCAAAATCATTTTGTGGGTTGTACAGTGTACACCCCGGTATTTCAACTCGGGAATGATCCACAATACCTATCAATAATCCCAGCAACCCCCAGCAACCCATCCATTCCCTACGTTTAGCACCAGTAAGTCAAAGTATGCCTATCAAATATTTCAAAGATTTTCAAAGTATCATCCAACCACCATCCAGCCACCATCCAACCACCAAGCAGCCCGGAGCCAGCCACCGTGACACAGGATTCGCACCTGAGGAGAGGACCGGGGTTGGGGGGGGACCGCGGTGACTTACTCGGGAAACATACCAAAAACGATGGGAAATCACCATTTTTAATGGGTAAACTATGGAAAATCACCATTTTTCATGGGTAAACTATGGGAAATCACCACTTTTCATAGGTAAACTATGGGAAATCACCATTTTTCATGGGTAAACTATGGGAAATCACCACTTTTCATAGGTAAACTATGGGAAATCACCATTTTTAATGGGGAAATCAACTATTTCTATGGCCATTCAGCGAACTGCAAAATTACCAGAGGGTAACTAACCATCTCAATCCAACCCCTAGGGAACACAATCCACAAGGCCCAAATGGCCTGCATTCACTAGTGAAATTGGGTATGGTAGCCCCTTGTCAGACCACAGTGGCTCAATGGCAGCATTAAATGGATGAAAAAGAAAAGTGAACAAATATCGTAATAGTAGCACTATAGGATATTTACTAGTGGCCTTGTTGAATACCATCCCCCTCTTTGCAATAGATCAATAAATGTGGATTGTTGGGGGCATTTGGACTTCTCGGGGATTGTTGGGGAATCTTTAAGGGATGTTGGGGAATAGAATAATTATATAGGATATGTTGGCTTGGGGACATAGCTGATATAATCAAGAAAAATTGATGGGTTTCTTCGAGAAAATTCACGGTTGAAACCTCCCTCAAACCAATTCTGGGATGAATGGGCTGGTGATTTGGACTGGCTGACTGGCGAGCGAAGAACTGGGCCGCCGAACATGCAAAAAAAAAAATGTGCGATTTACATCGAGTTACTTTAATTTATATATATATATATGTACATATATATATATATATATTAAGAATTGATTGGGTACCAATAAATGAATGCGATGATCTAGTGACAATGACCCATTTCTGCCGCGCCTCTTTGATATTTGGACTGCCATCCCTGGATTGTCAACCCCTCGAGATGACTTGCCCGGCCCCATCAGTGGATGAACACTACCAGTTCAAGATATGCCACCAATATGCCACCAATGCACTGCCACAAAACTCATGGACTGCTGACTGCTTTCCTACGTACTGGAAAAACCGACTTGAACCACACATGACATCCTGGTACCCTGGTGAACATGAAAATAGCTGGCAAATGGATGTTCATTCCCAAGAAACATGGCATAGATTGGTACAAAAGTCAATTTTTAGTAAGTAGGTTTTGATATTTTGTTGATCCATTGCCATACCTTTGCGGAATCAACCTGACCAATCCATCGGCTCTTTGAAACTGTCGAGAGACGCAAAGCCGTCCAGCTCCTTCTTCTTCCTCAGCCCGTCTCATGGATGGCATGGCCAAATGGTGGCTTCCTCAAAGGCCCTTTTGAGCATAAAAAAAGGGCCCAGTATTGTACCAGTTTTGAAACAAACCATAAGATTATAGTTGGTTTGGTGCAAGGGCCCTTGCGTATTTTTGGTCATTTCAGATACTCTAACCTAGGCCTAGGTACAGCATATCATAAGTTGACAGCAACAATCATCATGGAAACAACTTTATGATTCATATGATCATTTCTCCTGCCATATTCATGACCTACAAAGTCTACTTGAACATGACATGACATGACTCATGCTCGCCTTTAGAAATCCACCCAACACATCAGCGAACCATACCTTAGATAGCAAAGTTACTGTACCAAGTCCCTAAAAACCAGGTGAAGCATTGTAGCTTTTTAGCAAGGTATATCATATCCCTTTGTCCCAAGACCCGGCGTTTAACTTAAGGGCTTAAGAAACCCAGGCTTAACAACCCAAGCCAACCACAGCAACAGAATCAGCAAAGGAACAAGCTGTTGATCCACTCTCCATTGATGCACTGCAAGGTCTCTGCAGAAGTCTTCACCCCGCTGCCTGGAGACCCGACTGAAGCTGGAGGGTGACCGCTGTTTGCCGTTAGCGAAAAAAAGAAATGGTGGGAAGCATTGGAGGAAAACTGGTTGAAAATGGTACCTTGATCTCTTTCGGAATTATGAGCCTCTTTCGGACACATCTATCTGCCTGTCTATCTGACTATCTATCCATCTATCCATGTGTGTGTGCGCCAACCTTTTAGTGTTGCGGATTCATCAACCATGAGAAACCCACTGCACTGGAAACTGACCACCATTTCATGTTCTCGACCACCAAGACCCAAGTGGAACACATCAAACTAGCTGAACGATGTCGGATGTTTTCACGTCCTAAAGAGTCGTTGTTTGCGTTCGAAGCATAGCTACATAGTATTGATCCCCCATGTTCGGCTGGTTTCAAGGGGCTAGAATGATTCGCCCAACTTGGGATTGCATCTTGCCATATCTTGCCATTGTTTTCTGGCTTGAGCGGTCTTAGCTGATGAAAATCCCATGTCTCAGCCTTTTTAAGCTGGTAAGGTCCCCCTTTGGAAATCGCTTAAATCATGGAGCATATAAAAGCATATAAAATGATCACAAAGCAACATATAACATCCAATTGACTTGATAAATCCATATAACATGATAACAAATCAACATCCAACTTTCACATCAACAGAAGTCAAATCCAATAGACTTCCATTAACATCCAAACCATTGAGCCTATCATTTTCTTCCCCATTCAATGGCCATGACTCTCGTCGGTTATCCCAGCACATCAGGGCCCACATTCCATGAAATCCCATGTTTAATCACCATGTTTGTTGGTTAAACAACCATAATATCTGGCGGAGTTATAGTAATTCAGAGACCTGAATATAGCTGAAACATCACACGGCCATGGGATGATTTAGTTTACAATTCCCATCATTCCAGTGACGTCACGACGTGCGGTTATTATAATTCATCCAGATATGAAACATTATCTATATCCAATTCGTGATTTATACTATCATGTAGCTAGGCAGCTAGATCATGGTTTTTCATCACCATGATTCACCATGTTTATGATGGCTAAATCATCAGAGATCAGCGACTATCCATGTTGGTGAAATCATCTAGAAAAACTCTCATTACAAAATGTGTATTTTGTGTTATAGCATGATCACCAGTCCATCGCCGAGAAAATCACCAACCAGCTATAAGTTTGGATATGAACACCAGTAAATCACAATTTAAACCATCATTAAATCACCATGGGTAACTATGGTTTTCTCCAGGTCAAAAATCACCCCCAGCCAGGGCGCGGAAGGCCGTGAAGCGCTCACGCCAGCAGGAGGCCGTGAGTTGCCGCCCATGCCTGGCTCGGAAACTTTCGGGGAATTTGGTGTTGTTCTTGGCATGAAATATATGCCCGGAATACCATGGGATACCCCCCATTTTCTCCTAGCCATTTTCAAGAAATGGAAATGAGCATTCATTGGAATATTGGGAAGAAATATGGGATATAGTCTGATATAGTAGGTTTACTCATGACCAATGACCAAGTTAGCGGGATTTAAGCATCAAAATAGGAGTTTAACTGATGTAAACAGCGCATATCAATAGTTTGGGGAGATTTGAGGATATAGTGGGGATATTTGGTGATATAGGTTGGGGACCAAAAAAAAATGGGATTGGTATACTCCTTGGGGATATGCAGGGGATAACTTCTATATATATATATAATTGGATTGTTCATTGATGAATAGTGACCAATTGGGACTTACTTACAATATCTTACACTAGGGATATAGACATCGAATAGTAGTCAACCACTATAGTGGACAACAGGATGGTTTTACTACTAAGAATAGAGATGTATTGGGGTGATTAAAATGGGATATAGTTGTTTTACCAATCATTAATGAATAAGTAGGAATTGAGCATCAAAGATAGGGAATTGACTGAAACGAATGATGAGGATTTGGCAACAGTAATGGTAGCGATTCGCGATTCACTCATTGTGGTTGCAATTGGGGGTCTAATCATCAATAAATGCAGATTTAATCTTCAAACCAAACATCTAGAAATCATCCCAGTAAGCATTTATCATTTGAGGTCGAAGCTGGCTACCCCTATATATTTATACCTCTATTTATCGGAAAGGACCCATATGTATACATACACACGTTTATATATATATAATAATAATAATAAATAATAAATAATAAATAATAAATAACAATAAATAATTACCAATAATAATTATCATTATTATATATAATATATTGTATATCATGTATATGACATATATTTCATACATTTCATCCAACAAAAACATCAAAACACTGTCACCCAGCGCTCTCCGCCGCGCGACGCAAAGCTTTCAGGCAGCGGCGTCTTGCCCATCCACACCTCGACGCGCCGTTGCGAAGGCCGATATGGTGAACTAATGTAAGATGCCATGAGAAAACCCTAGGTATACTGGTGGTTTACTATGGTTTACTGGTGGTTTACTATGGTTTACTAACCATTTCTAGTTGATTTAACATTTAACCATGAAAAATGGTGATTTGCCATAGTTATGATGGATAACTTGGTTGATGGTGCAATAACCATCTTGAAAAATGATGGAGTTCGTCAATGGGAAGGATGACATCCCATATATGAAATGGAAAATAAAATTCATGTTCCAAACCACCAACCAGTATAGATTACTATGTGATAAATTCCATGGAATTTGGAAAGCCATTGGTGATATATGTGATATTTGTAGATATGGTGAAGCGTCTAGGTTCTAGTGGTGATATCATATATTTTGCTGTGTCTAGAAAGTTGGACATGTCTAATAATTGTTTATACCATAGATATTCCAATGTTTTGAAATTTGGAAAGCCCTAAAATCCTCGATACAAACCCCATCTTGTGATGAATGCCGGTCAGAAACAAAATTGATGGTGGCACTTAAATTATGTGAAATCCCTATGTTGGATAGTTCAATTCCCATCGACCGAGGCGCGTGGGAGTCGCTCTTGCGGTACAAGGGTCGGCTGCAATGCTCCACCCCAACGCCTCCCATCAGCAGCAGGGCATCACCTGAAAGGCATGGGATATGGGAAGGTCATAGCCCAATTTTATCCGAAATAATTTTTGAATAAACCCGTCCATATCAGGAATTGAGGCTTACTCTTCAACTTGTTTAAATCTTGATTTAGAATTGGAAGTTGAATGGGTTGACTAAACTGTTGAAGAGTTTATTGTTGGTATAGTTGATAGTGATTGGTTGAACAATTATGGGGAATTCGCTAAAAATCTGACAATACACCAACCCATCCCCAAAGTAGAGGTTATTATTGTACTAAATATGGATAGTAATACCAACATGCTGTAGAAACTGTGGATTTGATTTAGCAGAAATGTATTCTGTGGCTTTAGCATGCTTGATATCACACCTATGGATAGTATACTGAAATATGGATCTATAGCAAATATATACATCCATATGGGTAGAATGGCCATATTCTGCTCCCATGAATAGTGTACTAAGGTCTACTAAATACTATGGAAATAGATGGTCTGGCTGGTATGGCTGAATCATGGGAATTTTGGGGGGAGCTAGCAGCCTGGTGGTTTTTTTCAGGCTTCACAGGGGATTTTCCCATATCCAGTCAGGTTGCTACATCCCTTTCACATTCTGTCGTATAAGGGCTTACCCGGTTTGTGGTAAATGGGCCTAATGGGTAATCTCAAATCACTTCGACAGTGTTCGATACCGGCGCTGGGTCATTGCTTGGATTAAGCCCGAATCACCCGCCGAAAGTGTTGAACGCAGCAAAAAGAATCTCTGAAACGACCCAGTTATGTCAGGGCTTGGCAAATGTCCCATTTTTTGATCCATTGGGATTTTGAAATATTTTGAACATCACAAGATATCACAAGATATGTCTCTGCACATGAAAAATCCTCAGGGGCACATTGCTGGTAGAGATGGATGTGGATGAAGGAGAATGGATCAGGACCTCAGCGAAATCCAGTCAGCCATTCATGGATAAAACATAGCAAGATCATGGGAAAGTATGGTGAAATATGGTGAAAATATGGAAACTATGTTTTTCCATTGCCGTGTTTGATGACCAGAGGCTATTCTGACTTGTTGGCAAAATGGGGAAATGACCCAACTGCTTGTGTTTTTTGCTTGCCAAGATTGAAGTGGTTCTTGGGGTGACATGCAATTCGTCCATTCTTCCAAGCTCCAAAATTGAGGGACCCTCACGTGGAGAGATCAAATTCATAAATGAAAATAACGTGAGTGAAGGGATGATTTGGATGATGACGACAGCGAATGATGATTCAGGTTCTGATGAGTTCTTGAAAATGAACCTAGATGGCAGGACAGGGACCCATGATATCCCATGATCATGATAAGTGCGGCTGTCCCATTAGCTTGTAAGAGGGGTACATTTCACCATCTGGGCTTGTCCGTTTAAATAAGATGATATATCACATGTTGTCTGTTTCAACGGAAATATAAAGGGTATTTGGAATTGGGGGATCTCCATTTTCCGACGAACCCACCTGCCGAATGTCGAAAGCCGAATGTCGACACCATCTGTAAAATGCTGCATTTCGTTGAAAGCCGGGTCTGAAAACACCTCAAAATGCCATAATCAATGATGATATTCCCCACATAAATCTGCTATAAACTGATGCATCCCCCATGTCTTTTTCCAGAGCAGCTGAAGCCACTGGAGACCGCCGAGCCAGTCTCTGTCAAAGAAGAGCCCTGCCACCGAAATCCGGTTTTTTTTGTTCATAGTGGATAACATATTCCAAAACAGATCTATGGTTCTATGTGTTCTGGGAATTCTTTGGGGAGAAAAAATTGATGGTTCTATGTGTCTGGGAATGGCTGGGAAATGACCGGATTTAACCAACAAAAATGGTGGAGTAGGGGGGAACAGAATTGGTATATGAATTGATCTAGTTAATTTGAAGGTTCACTGGCAATCAAACATGGCCCCCATCAAAAATTGGCGGTTTAATGGGAAAATAAAATCCCCAGCAAACCATGTTTGATGAACAGAGGGTAGCATGTGGGATGAATCTGCCATTGATATCCATGTATGAGTCCAATAGTTCCTTGGGGTCATTTCTAGTAATTGCATCTCATGAATATCTGGGATTCTATTTGGGATTGATTTTGGGTTTATATATATATATATACAGATATATATAATATATATATATATATTATGTATATATATATCATATCATATCATATATATATATCATATATATATATATATCATATCATATATATATATATCATATCATATATATGTATCATATCATATATATATATATATCATATCATGTATGTATATATATATATATCATATACATATATCACATATATATCATATATATATCATATCTATATATATCATATATATATCATATATATATGTATCATATATATATATATCATATCATATATATATATATCATATCATATATATGTATCATATCATATATATATATCATATCATGTATGTATATATATATATCATATACATATATCACATATATATATATATATATATCATATCTATATATATATATCATATGTATGTATGTATAAAAATATATGGAATTATATGGGATATAATAGAGGGGAATTGAGAGCACCCCATTTAAACATGTGTCTGTGGACTGTGCACATGTGGACCCTGTCACTGGACCGCCAACCAGAAACTCACCAGCCCAAGACTCCGAAAGAAGTGTGACCGGGGTCAAAATGACCTGTCATGGAAATAAAATACTTACCCTGTGGTAAACTAACATAGCCATTGAAAATGGCCATAGTGGATTTACCCATGAATAGCATGGTGATTTTCCATCGTTTTTTGTATGTTTACCAGAGGGTACAATACCCTCCAGTACTCAAATGTGGCTGGGAGATCACCTGCTTAGAGGTGTCTGTTGCTCGCTCCTGCAGCGTCAATTTGATCTCACTCACCGTCATATATGAGGTCAATAACCTCGGGTGGTTGGAACCACAGGAACACATGGCTGGTTGTTGGGCATGATAGTAGCCTTTCTTTGGTGATATTTCACAAGCAGTCCTTGAATGGTGGCAATTGATGAACGTTAATGTCACTTACTCTGGCTGAATTACAACACTCCACCAACCTGAAATATCTGAAACGGTGCTACCTTAGGAAAGATTCCCCTTACCATCCATCATTTGCAGAGAGGATAGAGAGGTGTTGGTGAGGTTGTTTTAATTCAAACTGATTACAACTAATGGTTGCTATCAATACTGGCTATACTATACCATGCTATACCAATTATACTGATTCCTAGTTTGGCACAGAGTTTCCTGGATTGAAACCTCGGCCATTCAGCAGAAACTCACCAGCTACTGCCGTGATCCCCCCTCATTGCTGGTGCACCCAATTTGATCCAATGAATCTACCCTCTGGTAAACTAACATAACTATGGAAAATCACCATTTTTCATGGGAAAACTCCCTATAAATGGTCATTTTCAATAGCTATGTTAAATTACCAGAGGGTAATGAATCTGTCTGAAAATCATTTGTGCAGCCCATGTTTTCCATGTTTTTTGGGTCCCAGAAATTGATCCAACAAAAATGGCCCGTTTCACCCATCCCCCATTTCGCTGCTGGTAGCTTCACACACATGGCCTGCGCCCTCAATTGCACCTCGGAAAAAACCCAGCAACTGAGAATGCTGATGATCACAGTGAAACAGGATAGTGTTTCTCATTTTTCATACTGATATAGAATTGGAAATCATGATGCAACTGATGATCATTATCATAGTTTTAATATATCATATATATATATATATGATTATATATGTATGATATATGTATGAAAAAATCCAACTTCAGTTTCCACTGGTTACTGGTTTCTTGCCACGTTGTCACCAAGGCTCATTGTGCGTTCCACGCAGATTTCCAGGGTGAACTCGACATTCACCTCCAGTGAAAAATGGCTACAGCTAAGGGATATCCGGTTTTCGATGGCCATTTCAATGGGAAAATGCTGCGGCCAGTGCGAAGTCCGGAGAGAAATGCATGGGGATACTCTAACCCATTTGTTTCAGACAACCAACATACCACTGAACCGGCGTGAACCGGCGTCCAAAAAAAAAAACTGTATATTTTCGCTTGTCTCCAAGGAATTCACCGTATTTAGGCATGGTTTCAACATGTTTCAACAATCAACACCCCACAATTTTCTCTTGTTTTTTCCCGTTGAACCCTCCAAAGTTGAATGTTGAGAATTTTTGTCCATAGCCATAGCAGCCAGTCATGGTGGGTTTCTTCCAGGTTGATTCCGGGATCCCGCGGCATCGCGGCAAGGAAGTGACAAAAATTAAGGTGGATTTTATGTTTCTGATTTCTGATCGTCTAACAACTATGGAAGTTGTCATCTCATCAACTAAAATGTAATCCTTCTTACCGCCAAGTCTGGCACTGCGAAATCCACCTGTTGACGGTTTTTTTGAACATCATTTGTCAACAGGTGAGATTCTAGCTCCACAAGCAACACTCCACACTGGCTCGGCACACCTGCAACGTCCATCCTCACCTGCGCCAAGAAAGTTGGGTGTTTGTCGGTGTTCGTTTTCCCCCTGAGCCCTCACTGGGATGGGATATCTGTGGATGTACAATTGGAATCAATTGGGAAATATGGTTTTGTCTGGAAAAACATTACCCCAAAATCCCATGTTTCATCATCATGTGTCCTACTATCTGGCCATTTAACACACCCGTTTACCTGCACGTGGTTCCAATGATCACAGCCAAGAGGGTGATCAAACCCCCATTAAAAAGAAGCACACATGGGCACACACCCATGATTCAAAACTACGAAAGCATAAAGGATTCGGCATCAGAACTATCCCAGGCTTCGAAGATTTTAATGAATCCAAGGGCTTAGTTTCAATGGGTTGGTGGAGAAGATCTGCAGGAAACCATGGTGAAACCCTCCAAATTTGGTTCGAACCGTGGCATCCTCTGGATATACCCATTTGACTCACCATCGAAGGGTCATATCCAGTCTCAGGGTCCACGATTTTTTCCAAATTCCTGTGCATATACATTGTATGTCTGAATATATGATGAGATGTGTCAATATATGGGTCTCTCTGAAAATAGAGTACCCCTCCAAAAAAACATGGTCAATCGCCATTATCCCTATAAACAACCATCATTTTAAATAAAAACCTATATCCGCCGACCCCGCTTGCAGCAGGGGGAGCGCGTCAGAGGAGAAATTACCAGCAGCAAGGGGCAAGAAGCAAGAAGGAAGAAGTCAGGAAGCAAGTACAAGCGGCAAGAAGCAAGAAGAAGAAGAAGAAGAAGAAGAAGAAGAAGCTTAAGCTTGAGAAGTAGCTTGAAGGCTGCAATTAGGATTTGGAGCTAGCGCATTACAAGCAGCAGCAAGGGGCAAGAAGGCATCACAAGCAGCAGCAAGGGGCAAGAAGGCATCACAAGCAGCAAGGGGCAAGAAGCATACTAGCAGCAGCAAGGGGCAAGAAGGTATTACAAGCAGCAAGGGGCAAGAAGCAAGAAGCCAGAAGCCAAGAAGCAATTACAAGCAGCAAGGGGCAAGAAGCAAGAAGCAAGAAGGCAGGAAGCAAGAAGAAGAAGAAGAAGAAAAAGAAGAAGAAGAAGAAGAAGCTTGAAGGCTGCCATTGCGGAGGGAAGGCTTTGGAGGTTTGCAAGCTGGAATCTGGAGCTAGCTTCTAGCTGTGTCAGAAAGCAACGTTAGGCAGAGGCAGCTGCCAGGTCCGTCCTTTAGTTCCATGGTGTTTCGGTCCTAGGCCAACATAGAGCCAACATAGGCCAACATAGGCCCAACATGGCCCCAAGATAGGCCCAAGCTGGGCCCAACCTGGCCCAACATGGACCCAAGGGCGGCCCTTCAATCCGGGATGGTCTAAGATATCGCCAACATAGCCTCAACATGATCGCAACATGCTCCCTACACTGACTTCAGGCCGTTTCTCTGCCGGCGCCCGGCTGTCAGGCGTAAGCCCTGAAATTAATTGTGCTTAATACATGAGATGTGTGCAATGTATGTATCACATACATATCATCGGTTTGTCCTTAAGAGGGCACCAAAAGGTAAGATCAGACTGGCGAGATCAACCATCATGGCGAACATGAATGGTGAGTTAAGATTATTTAACAGTGAAACCTGGAGATTTATCCATTAATCATTAGTCATGTCCATTCAATACACCCACTGGTTCCCCAAAAGTGTTTGGTCAACATCCGTGCGTTTGTTGCCCCAGTTCCTGGGTAAAGCCCAATTTCGACCGCTTGGATCCTTATTTGCATGGTTCATCGTTCACCCTTCACTGGCACAACCACAAGAAGGGCCCCCCCGGTTATGTTTGCCGGTTTAAGTTCATGCAATTAATTGTATTTTATGTCATGATATATCCTGCCATAAGCCCAACAGTAGCCCAGTTCTGACCAACGGCTGCTCGAAAATAAAGTGATTAAAGCAATATGACTCCCGATGTTTTGGTGGTAGATCCATAATATCAATCCACACAAATCCATACAATCCTTAAAACATCTCTTCAAAATCCCTAGTTTTCATCCCTGTACCCTCTGGTAAACTAACATAGCTATTGAAAATGGCCATAGAAATAGTGGATTTTCCCATTAAAAATGGTGATTTTCCATAGCTATGTTAAATTACCAGAGGGTAGTTTTCTCCCCTTCCACCAGATCCAGTTTCACCCGATTGCAGTGGTCTCTGCTGCCGCTGTAAGACATGCACCAGCAGCCGGTCATCTGATACCCGCTGTTGCCTGGGAAGTCTGGCGTCCTGTAGATGCCAATCCAATTCTGAGAGTCTGGGATGATATCGGAAACTCAGGTTGGATTGGAAGCTTGAAATATGTTCCAAAATTCTCTGGATACACAAATTACAATAGATCCCACACAACATGATTTGCAAATTCTTTAAGTCTCCAGATCTGAGGTCATATCAACATCTCCAGATCAACCTCCTGGTGTCAAAAACACATGGAAAAAGACATGAAGTGGCAACCCAAATCTATGTGTGGATGGCATGAAATCTGTCAGATTTCGTTGGAACTTGAGATTCAGCTGTGCCAAACAACTCCATCTGAAATCAAATTGTGCGGAGAATTCGCAGGAAAGCCTGATGTCTAGATGGTTTTCGATGGAAGAAAACATGGTTTTCCAGTACACTTTGTCATCCAATTACAAAGACACGGAAACGATTCTGATCCCAGCTTTTCATAAGGGGCCCCATGTCAGATCATGGGCTTTTCGAGTTAGTGGTCTTTTCGTATAAGTAAAATGGCAGAGGAAGACCGCACCAACTGGCCATAGGAAAAAAAAGCCCCCCAATGGCCACCAGAATGAGAAAATGATGATCATCCAACTGCTGGTGGACTTTCAATCATGGGTCCCGCACCACTCCAACGACATCGTTGCTGGAAATATCCGTTAGACGTAATATTAATCTCTGTACTAAAAAAAAGCCATTGATAGTTATATCCCACCAAAAACATGACATTGTATCCACAATCTAATTCCACATATCTAATTATATCCTGTATCCTGTTGCTTTCTGGAAAGAGGCCTCCCACCCCAATCCCCAAAAAAAAAGATCATATTAATTTAATTCATATACCCCAGCCAGAAATTATGCCATGACATTCCATGCTTACCCCCAAAAATTGGTCCCGAATTTTGCTCTCGCCACATTTCGTGGAGACATAGACATTCTCGTCATCCTTCACGTGGGTCGCCGAGGACTCCTTGATGCTCCATGCCTACGAGGGATGGCTCAAAAAATCCACGGTGGAGGGGGGGTTGGGCTGAAATGACCCGGCCTGGTAAACAAAAAACGATTTACCATGCTATTCATGGGTAAATCCGCTATTTCTATGGCCATTTTCAATAGCTATTTTAGTTTACCAGAGGGTAACATGATTGAATCTGATTGAAATGCAAATTATATCAAATTATGATGAATAGAAACTTGGCATGCTAGATTCTGCTAGATGAAATGAGGATGATTTGATCTGGAAAAACATGTTTTCTGCTGTACAAATGCCATTGAAGCAGCGCCACTTTCTGGCAGATCCATCAAGGAACGGGTGCAATATTGGAATCTGCGCCAACCAACGGCTTCATGATAAATCAAACAACTGACATTTCACACTGAACCACCCCCCAAAAAAAAGAATGAATAAAGACCATGCTCTGCACTTTGAAATCGCCATTTGCTGGTTTCTGCAGTTGATTTTGGTGTATATCCCCCGGTTCATAGGTTGACATCCCCGCTTTTTGCTTGGCCAATACCGGAAAATCCACCCAGCAACAGTTCGATATGGTTGTCCCAGCGAACTAAAGAAAAATACCAGAAATACCCCATGAATATCCCAGGAATATTCCATCAATCCCATTCAATTTTTCTGGATATTAGATGGAATATAATCCATATATGTTTTCATCTAATACCATATAATGGATTCAATATTCTAATACCATGAATATCCCAGGCTATTTTTTCTGGATATAATCTAATATCATCTAATATCCTATGGATATTCCAGTAAATTACTATCAATTAAAACATATCATGGTTATCACCAATATGCCAATATCATCTAATATCCCATGACTATCACAATTAATAATCTAATGCCCCATTAAACATTACTAATACCATTTGGTTATTTAACATAGCCGTGGAAAATGGCCCATTTATAGATGGTTTACCTATTAAAAATGGTGATTTTCCATGGCTATGTTAAATAACCAGAGGGTATAGCAAATAATAAATATCCCATTCAAAATCTAGTTCACTGTCGCCATTCCACTGAAGCCCGAACCACCGTCCAGAGGCCCCGGCCGTGGCAACCGGGGATTGCATCTTACTGCAGATCGCCTGGCTTTGGTTTCTGAGTAGAAAAATAGGCATCTACCAAAAATATGGGCATATGGGGGGTTCCTTAAATGGAGGTACTCAGCTTTAACTTTTCCAGCTTGACGGGCGGCGCGTACAAGGGTTGACAACGTATTCAACGGAGTATTCTGACCTCCGTTTACTAGTAATTCCAGCTTCATACAGACGAGTTGCATTCTGTAGTCCGTACTTAGATTGTTTTTAGATGCTTTATCCTATCAAAATGGATAATTTGGGGGTACCCCCATTTTAGGAAGTCCCCATATAGTATCATATAGTAGGATATCATGGAAATGCCTATAACATAGAATCTATTTTGTTTTTTTGACAAGAAGAATGGTAGTTTAGGCATTTTATGATCAATTTTGGCATGATATTGGGAATCTAAGCATCAATCAATGGGTTCAACCCAACAACATACCAACCCGATTGATTTTTTTCCCATCATCCCAAGAATTGGGATTTACATAATTTCGTGAACCATTATTTACTGTAGGGGATGATGACTATTCTTGTGGATCCCACATTCATAACCTCGATGTACACAACCGCAAATATCCCATTAATGTAAGTGGGATATTAAGCATATCAGCATCACTATCATTATTATAATCATTATGTGTGTATATATATATGTATGTATATATATATATACACATGATTATTAGTATTCCTTATATAACCTGAAAATAGCTGTTCTCATGGAGCCATGTGGTGATGATTTTCCTTACAATTCCCATCATTCCCCGAGGATGCCGTGCGCCTGCGCGTAACCGCCTTCAGCATAGCACCTGCAGTTGGGCGGCAAAAGAAACACCTCTTTTAAGGATGTCCAAAATGTTTGAGCTCAGATACCCTCTGGTAATGACTAACATAGCTATTGAAAATGACCATTTATAATGGATTTTCCCCATTGAAAATGGTGATTTTCCATAGTTATGTTAGTTTACCAGAGGGTAGTTTTTTGTTGATGTTTCTGCTCCGTTCTGTTCCAACTTTTGGCCAAGTTTGGCCATTGATCCATATGAAAAACGTCAAGTCTTCGTTCACCAAAACTGCCCTGGCAACTCAGAGCCGCCCACCGTTCGTTGTTGGTATCCTTCCAGATCTTCTTACAGTGATGGCTGACCTCGGCAGCCCATGGCGCCAGTCAAAAAGAGGTGGATGGTGGACTGGTGGACTTTGGGGGCCCTGAAACTCCGAGTTGGGAAAGTTTGGGGGCCGTGATTCCTTTGATATCTTTGGCACTGATGGAAAGAAAACTGACTCTTACTGACTGTTGCTTGGTTTTTTTTACTTTGACAAATTTCAATCCCCACCAGTTTCTCCCGAAAAAAAAACAAAACGACTCCACTCACCACCAGGGCACCGTCTGCCCGTGGACCAATTCGATGAAGGAGTCCTGGTAACAGGTGCAGCTCAACCTCAGAGATCCACAGTCGTCACCTGCAGGTTGTTAACCTATACTAAGTCATGGTCATGACGACTGGATGAGAACTGGGGGTACCAACTTTAACGAATTCAGTGAAACCCCAATCATAGACCCCTGATTTGGAATACAGTATGGTTTTTGGTACCAAAAATCGAAGGATGGCGTAAAGTGGGTATGGTTTATCAGTGGGTTTCCCAAATCTTCAATTCACCTGTTTGCTTTGCGGTGGTGCTTAAGCCACACTCTTGTAAAACTGTAAAATGTTATTCATTGAGGAAATCACTGCAATTTGAAACCGCCAAGCAGGTTGGTTTCCCTTAGCGACATGGATGATTTTGGTGGAATTGGGGTCCCCAAAGTTCTGCTAAAGTGCTACGCAAGACAGCAGAGGGGTGGGAGGGGTGCGATAACGTTGAACCTCTTGCCTCTGTGGAACATCTACACATCATTTATAGTGATTTACAGGAAAAGAAGAATGCTTTGACTCTGACCCTGAGCATTGCAGACAGCCTCAGAAAAAGCAAAACTAGTGTGTGGCAATAGAGAACAAACTTATAACAGGAACAAATCCTGGCACACAAGACTTCGCAAAATTCACTCAAACTAAGAAACCTGAGAATGTTCCGGTCGAAATTTACATCAAAGCATTCTGTCAGAAAGACGCACGGTACTGTTGAAGACATGTTCGTGTCAGTTGTAGGGCTCTCAAAATGGTGTGACTGTGCTATGTATATATATATATATATGAATGAATCTGCATATTATGTGTATATACATGTGCAAGGTCATGTATACATGTATATATATATATATTATACATTATTGTTTTGTATACATTCGTAACAAATACTATTGTCATCAAAAAAAAATGGCATCATCGACGCCCCTCGTGATTTTCCGTGTCCAGTCATCTGCCCACTGAGGAACACTTTGTAACCAGAAGGGCATGAAGCATAGACCTCGGCCGGATTTTCCATGAAAACTCTCATCAAATACAGCAGATGGGCTTCCTGCAATGCTTCCCTCAAACCAATCCAATTAACTCAACCGGGTTCAGACTAGATATGCTTTTCGGAAAGAAAAAATATGTTTGTAGTTGAATTGGGCCAACATACACATCCGTTCCAAATGAATTCTTCAAGAGGTCGTACATTTCTACATCTGTTACCTTGATTTTTATCATGTCAAGTTTGACCCAATGGCCATAAATCCTGGTTACGGTGGTTGACCTACCCCTCTGAAAAATATTAGTCAGTTGGGATTATGACATTCCCAATATATGGAAAAATAAAAAAATGTTCCAAACCACCAACCAGAATCAATAATACCTGTTTTTAAGGAACTGAGTGACTCATTCCACACAGCTTAAGTACGCATCACCCTATCTTCAGTGGTAAAAATATGTGTGTTTCATATGTCTTGTGCACCCAGCCCTCCATGGTTAGTAATCAGCTTCCCAACAGTTTCAATTGGGCGGAAATCTGCCATTTTGAAAACAACCTAAATATCAATACATATCATATATGTATTGCTGGTCGTATTGCTGGTCGTATATCCCGTTGTGAGTTATAAATGTTAGCAGTCCCAAAATAGATAGAAAAGTTGAAAACGTGGGGTAAATATAGTCTATAGCATCCTGGAAAGACTGTTCTGTCTTTTTTGGAACGCCAAGCCTTTATTTTCTACAATAAATCCAACTATATCCCCATATACAGCATTCCCAAACACATGTGGAATCAGGTTATGATCCATCCCCCATTGCTGCTCAGCACGGCACATTACTCGGCAGCGTGCGTCTGCGCCGGGAGCGTCTACGCCGGGAGCGTCTTCTGCGGCGCGAGCGACGGCGTCGGGAGCGGCGGCGGCGCCGACGCCGGCGGCGCGAACAGCAGATCTTGCCACCTGGCAGCAGGATGACTGTCACCGGGATGGGATTCTAGTCCCCACGAAGTTGGGAAATATCTCCTGTAACTATGGTTTTTTGGGGGGAATTATTAGTGGACACCCCAAGAAGGGGGGAAGCGCCCAGTGATGTTTCTTGGTTTAGAAATCATGGAAAAAGAAGGGAAATATATTCTGTATAGAAATGGATGTATTTAATTTTTTCCACAGAATATGCCAGTGATTACTGTATAAGTTGGTTTATCAATGGTCAAGGGTACCATAGGGAATTCAAGGGGTTAGGAAAATGATTTAAGAATTGATTGCTCACATCTTTGGTCTATGATATTACTACGGTTGAGTAATTTTAATACTGGTAGCGAAAATGATGATAGACCAAGGGAACGCTAGATATTGGGCCTGGCCCAAAAATCAGCCATAAAATGGATTTTATGGCACGTTTTATAATTCATGGAATGTATAGTAGTTCTCCTAGGACCAACACGTTGGCTGATTTCCACCATAGAATGCATGGATGTCACCAGACTTCAAGTTCAGGAACAGCAACTGGCAGCAACGATGTTCAACAGACATGGCATACGCTGAGTCAGCAATCGGTTACACCGTGCCATGCCATGTCACACCCAATTTCTCCAATGAGTATTCCCAGTAGATATGATAAAAGTGGTGGCTTTCCCATCAGAAAAGTCTGCCAAAAAACAAAGAACCAACAAAAAAAGCATTTTAGTAACCATCTATAGTAACCATCTAGAGTAACAATCTATAAATATTTAGGACCTCTGCTTTCTTTTAGTAACCATCTATAGCACACTGGGGAAATCATCCATGAATTATACAACAAATCCATGGATTTTTCCAACCACGGCTCCCTGCCTTTCTGTCCTTGAGTATCCACAGCTCCCACCAGTGACGCGTTACTTAGCTCAGGAGAATCCTCGGACGGATCAGCGCGGCATTCATCAGTTTGGTCACAAAAAACGGGGAAAGAGCTGGGAAATGCTGCGAACACATGGGAAAAGGAATTTGTTTCATGAAGTTGATGTTCCTTTGGAACACGTAGAAGCATGTTTCAAGCGAACTCGTTGACGCCACTTCCAAGTGATAAACCGATCTAGAACTCAATGTCCTCATGTTGAAGGGTTATATGTTATATTATGTCATATTCCTATTCCATCATATCCCAAAGGATTTCAGGTATGGGCTTGGCCCCAAGAAACTAAAATTACTACCCCAAATGGATCGTAATTCCAATATTTCAGACAGATTTTTTAAACAGCCTTTCGTGGGACCATAAGGTACCAAAAAAATCCCATGGTTTCAAAATGGACGTTCACCCACATCCAACTCACCCTGAAAATCCAACTCACAATCCATGAATATCCATTAAATCAATGTTCCTGTTCCAAATAATCAAAATATATCAAAATCCATTTTAGAAATGTCAAAAACATGAACAAATACCATGAAAAGCCAGGACTTTCCCATCCATGGCACCTGAGCATCCTGAGAATCTTCCAGGCCGTCTTCGCCCATGACCTCGTCCTGGCTGCTTTTTTCGCCACTTAAAAAAATGATGAAATCCATTTTAAATCCACAAAATCATCCATTTAGTGGATCCATTTAGTGGATATTTTATGATATTCCAACTTTTAAAAATTAGATCCATTTAGTTGGAATATCCACTTTACATACTGTACAATCTCTACAAATATGGCCACTAAATATCTTAAACCCATGGATTTGGGGCTACGAAAACAGGTGATCTCCTACTTTCCGGCCACTCCTCAGAGTCTTCGTCATCATCCATGAGAGAATCGTCCTGCGTCATGCGACCCCTTTTGGACTTGCAGTCAAGTTAGTAACGGCGATATACTGGGAACATCACACATATCATATATCATATCATATACAGTATGTATTATAATGATTTATAAAGGGGATATTAGATATCATGATTTATCCAACCAGCTTGATGTGATGCGGCTGCGGCTGAAACTGCGGTACACCCCGCAGTATGTCCATGTTTGTTGGGAAATCTATATTTTAAAACCATCATTTTTTGCGGGGTACCCTATTTTTTGGCAAACCCAAATTCTCGAGAGCAATGCAGCAAAGAGTGCAAGAAAAAAATCACCACAGGAAAGCGAAAAGCGGCCGCCATTGTTTTACTTCTCCTCTTCGTCTGCCTTCTTCTCTTCAGGTTCTTCATCTTCTGGAGTCAAATCATCATCCTGGCAATGACAGGACCTTGCCTTGGTCTAGAAACTGTGATAAACCGAAAAATACACCATTCCATGTCCACCATGAACCATGACTGGGTGTCATAAAAAACATCATCCCATTACCCGGTCCCAATAAACCCCGGGGATGGTGACTCATTGGGTTTACCACGTTTCCCAACCAAGGCTGTGATTCTTTTCGACTCGGCATCCCGCCTCGTCCGACACCTTTCCTTCATGGTCGATTTCTGCGGCAGTTTCGCCATCATCCTCGTCCTCGTCCTCGTCTTCACTGACGCCTGGACGGTAACACAGGCTCTGGGAGGCTCCCGGGGAAACCACCAGAGTCTCCACAGTGATGTCTGGTTTTGACCATTTTTGACCTATGTCATCTATGTCAACCATGTCTCATCCATACCAACGAGGACGCACAAATTCACTGCATAGGTTGTAAATGGTGTCAGGAATGTAAACAGAAAACATACTCGAACATGGCAACCCGAATTAGATCGAATTAGGTTTCACCATATTTCACCTCAAAAATCATTAAAACATATTAAAACTATTGGATCAATGGTGATACCTTTTTTAACCACCATGTCTTCACCTCAATGGTCTCACCTATAAATCAATGCTATGGAAAATCCCCATTAGCTACTAATGGGTAAATCCACTATTTCAATGGCCATGTTCAATAGCTAAGTGTTTGTTTACCATTACTATAACCATTCTTATAACCATGACTATAATTACCATTACCATAACCATTACTATAGCCATTATTACTATAACTGTTTTCTATGTTTACCATTGGATTTACCCTCCGATCATGGCGCCTGTCAGCTGGATATCCTCGACCGAACCATTGGCGCCGGCGCCGGTCTCCAGCCATGAGAAGCTGGGCCCGGAGCTGGTGACGTATGAAATGCCTTGCCTGGCGGTGAATCGTGGTGATTAATGGATTTAATGGTGATTAATGGATGATTAATGGTGATTAATGGTGATTAATGGATGATTAATGGTGATTAATGGTTTTTTTAATGGTGATTAATGGTGATTAAATGGTGATTAATGGTGATTAAATGGTGATTAATGGTGATTAATGGTGATTAATGGTGATTAAATGGTGATTGATGGTGATTAAATGGTGATTAATGGTGATTGATGGTGATTAATGGTGATTAATGGTGATTAATGGTGATTAAATGGTGATTAATGGTGATTAAAGGTTTTTTTAATGGTGATTAATGGTGATTAAATGGTGATTAATGGTGATTAAATGGTGATTAATGGTGATTAATGGTGATTAAATGGTGATTAAATGGTGATTGATGGTGATTAAATGGTGATTAATGGTGATTAATGGTGATTAATGGTGATTAATGGTGATTAATGGTGATTAAATGGTGATTAATGGTGATTAATGGTGATTAAATGGTGATTAATGGTGATTAATGGTGATTAATGGTGATTAATGGTGATTAATGGTGATTAAATGGTGATTAAATGGTGATTAATGGTGATTAATGGTGATTAATGGTGATTAATGGTGATTAATGGTGATTAATGGTGATTAATGGTGATTAATGGTGATTAATGGTGATTAATGGTGATTAAATGGTGATTAATGGTGATTAATGGTGATTAATGGTGATTAATGGTGATTAATGGTGTTAAATGGTGATTAATGGTGATTGAAATGGTGATTAAATGGTGATTAATGGTGATTAATGGTGATTAATGGTGATTAATGGTGATTAATGGTGATTAATGGTGATTAATGGTGATTAATGGTGATTAATGGTGATTAATGGTGATTAATGGTGATTAATGGTGATTAATGGTGATTAATGGTGATTAATGGTGATTAATGGTGATTAATGGTGATTAATGGTGATTAATGGTGATTAATGGTGATTAATGGTGATTAATGGTGATTAAATGGTGATTAAATGGTGATTAATGGTGATTAATGGTGATTAATGGTGATTAATGGTGATTAATGGTGATTAATGGTGATTAATGGTGATTAATGGTGATTAATGGTGATTAATTGTTAATGGTGATTAATGGTGATTAATGGTGATTAATGGTGATGTCATGGTGATTAATGGTGATGGTGATTAATGGTGATTAATGGTGATTAATGGTGATTAATGGTGATTAATGGTGATTAATGGTGATTAATGGTGATTAATGGTGATTAATGGTGATTAATCAATTAATGGTGAATAAATTAATGGTGATGAATTAATGCTGAAAATACTAGTGAATGATGGCTTTATGTCATACTAATAATGGTTGATAATGGTTGGTAATCATGCTTGATGAATATGAATGATGTTTAATAAGGGTTAACAAATTCATTAATGGTTCAGTAAGGGTGATCAATAGTTCATAATGGTTGAGTAAAGGGTGATTAATGGTTAATAATGGGTGATTAATGGGTGCATAATTGTCAACAATGGTTGACAATGGTTGATAATGGTGAATAATGATTGATAATGTTTGATATATCATGATAAATCAATTATTAATTAGACTAGGGATTCCCAGAATGGATTATGACAATCCCCAATATATGATCGGAGTAAGAACCCCCGAAGTCATCATCTACCAACAAGGTTTTTGAGCACCGCTCAAACTGTGGATTTTGGGTGTGTGTGTGTGTACAGCCCATCCCACCCCATGAAATACTGGTTGACTAATAGGTATCCCCAACTATCCCTATGAAATATGGCTTTGAGTTATCCCCAATAAGCCAGGTAGTTTTTTTTGAATCCACATCTCATAACCAACTGGGATGATGTTTTGGATTGGGTCAAGACTTTAAACCCATAAAACTGAGGGTCTGAGATTTTGGCCCCAGCACCGCAGAATCTGCACAAGAAAAAACCTTGACAAAGTCAAAGAGAGGTCTTCTGGGATGCATTAAGATATCAAACCGCATCAGCTATCTTTAGCCTTTGCGCCCAGATGCCCCCAATCACAAAAAATCCTTTGGCGCACATCCCTGGACCTTCCATGGGCCAAGTGACTGGAAGGTCAAAGCCACACAGTAGGCATGCGCTTCCACCGAGGGGTTGGTCTTAGCATCTGCTAGCATCTCTGAGGGACATCAGCAACCGAGAAGTGTCCCATAAAGAAAGAGGAGTTGGGGATGGTAATCTAGCAGAAGCTACCACATGTACCGTTTTTCCAGCATAAGAGTTGTATCAAGCAACATAACCAACCCATCAATTCGCCCTGGACATGATTTTGAGCTCCACTGCCCACGGGCTGCTACCTCCATACAGACCTTGGGGGTTGCAGCAGTTCCAACCGCCACAAATGCTGGCAAAGGAGCGTATTGGCCGGGGCTGCTGACATCCTGACGCTCAACTGACCATGGGCCCTCCAGAATGGTACTATGCTTTAGAGCTTTACCCCAGTTGTAATGTGGTAAACATAAGGCGATAAACCATCCCCTATACTACCATGGGTATTCATGGGTGGGATTAAAATCATTCCCAAATGGTCTGGTAGGCTTAGTTCATTGTGACATCCAAATCGCCATTATCTTGATGGGCAAAACCGTATACACAGTGGTTAAATTCTAAACATTCATTCACTGTTCGGACAAATGGCTAATCCCCGTTCTGGTTTATCCTTGTGGTGAATAACTATCTGGCTAATCCCCTTTCGTTAATAACTATATCATAGGCTAGCTGCTAGCTGGTACCCTAATATTTGTTAGTTTCACTGTTATCAACTATTATCAACTGTTGTCAGCTGTTATCAACTGGGGTAACTATCAACATCTATCAACTATAGGGTTATCTACTCATTAATGTGATCACTAACCGTATCACCATCAATGGTATAAATCATGATTATCCACCGGTAAACCATTGTGGTTAATAACTATCATATGATAATAAATTAACTATGTTCTATGTATCCACTTCTGGTTATATCATATCCCATAAATTTTATCAACAATTTAATGTGATACTTAATTAATTCTTGTTAATAACTGGTTTATCATGTGAACTATAGGATCATTAATTATCTGGTTATACCCCAGTTCTACCCACTTCACCACTTCACCACTTCACCGCGCCTTGTTGCCGTAGGCCGTGCAGGTGCCGTCGGTGCCGATCTTGGCGCCAGCGCACTTGCCGTTCACCGCGTAGCAGTTGCAGCTGGTGATTTGGTATCTCCTGGGAGATTACCAAAGAAAAAACAAATATCTATACATATGTAGATATAAATATATATATATATAAGAGATATATATATATATCATATGTTCATAGGTTCATACGTTCATTTATCATCATGTCAGATATAGACATATGAGAATATATGAGAATATGTGTTCCATATCTATGTTTGCAGAATCTGGCGGGTACTTCAATCAAACCATCCCCAATGACTTACCACAAATGGTTTGTTTGGATTTCCCAAATGGGACATGTTTGATGAAAACCAAATTGCAAAAAACCTTCCCTCCAGTTATGTAACTGTTGGTTTATAAACCCCATAAAAACATCCATTTACTATAGTTATATCTACCATTTTTACCACAGAATTCAGCCACTTTGACTCGCCCGTTGTCCCAATGCTGCCCAATGCTGTGAACCGGAAAAGGCGAAGGTAACCGCTAGCCACAAACATATCGGGATCTGAACGACGAAGAATCATGACTGTATCCATACCTCAGGATAATAATCCAACGTTGAATATATATAACTATGTATATATACATATATACATATATATATGTGTGTATAATCTATAATATATAATATATAATGTATAATAATATATAATTTTATGTGTATATATAGATATACATATGTATCAAAGAAAATCTAAATAATTAATATTAATTAATGGTGCGGGATATTTCGACTCACGACCCAGAAATAATCGATACATGTAGCAAGACAAGAGAACATCGGTTGTATCATGTTATATCACTGTATCTCCTTCCTCATCCGTAAATTGTGGTGGATAAGTGGAAAGGTTCCATGAAATGATCTGAAATGGTGCAACAATGATTCGGTTCCAAACAACACGTCAGGGTGAGCAGACCCCCAGTCTAATGGGGCTCTCAAGCACCCACAGTATCAAAATGGGGACTTCGCCATTGACCCTGCCGGCAGTTCCTACGGCAGTTGCGCGAGGCGGTGGAGCCCTGCCCGCTCTTGCTCACGTAGGCGTTCAAGGGAAAGTCCACCGCTTCAAATTCGAACATGATCTCCTTGGAGGCTAATGATGTCAAAATTGGAGAACAAATGGAGAACAAACACTTACATAAAGATTGGGATGATTTTCTCGGGACAAAGGTGCCATGAGGTTAATACTTAAACAATCTTAAACACTTCCAATTGGCCTGACGGGACTCAAAGACTTAGGACATGTTGGGACATCTGCAGGGCCTTCTTCACCAGGACCGCCAGTTTTGCGTTTCTAGCAGAGGCCAGTGCCATGTGCTTGTAGCCTACCAGAAATCCCATCTGCTTCATCTTGGTGGATATATGAGAACCCCCATGGTGATATGGTGGATGTATGATGTATATTAGAAGCCATACTCCATCATGTCACTCATGGAATCACGAAAATCATCATGAGAACCATCATATTCCCCCAGTTGCATTCAACATATCCATCATGGGAATCATGCCAAGGCGCGCCGCGGGGCGTCGCTTTGACGGTGCCCGAGGCTTGGTAGGCGCGACGCCGCCGGGAGGACTTCAGCTGGATCGAGGTCTGGGAGCCTTCCAGCGAACTGGGAGATGGTCATGATATGACTTGATGGTTGAGCCCTACCATTGTGGTTAATATACTGTTAATAATGGTTAATAATGGTTACTATATTATTATTACATGGTTAATGATGGAGTGAGTTCGTCAGTTGGGATGATTTGTCCATTCCCAACTGAATGGAAAAATAAACAATGTTCCAAACCACCAACCAGTGATACTTGATATATATATATATAACTGATTTGGGAGATGGTCATGATATGACTTGATACTTGATATAACATGATATAACTGATTTGCAAGAAGTGATATGAGGGAAATGTCAACTGAAGATGAAGTAAAATATGACTCTTATGTCGGATATAGTTTTTGAGAAACCATTTCGACTAGCTATTGATGTTTCATGTGAGATATCACTTTTCTGGGTGGATCATGGGATGTGAGATGATGTGAGATAATGGATAGCTTGATGAACTCATCATTAATCTTTAATAGGGGATTTTAATAACCATCGATGATTAAACCACCAAAAAAAACAACAATAGGATGGAAATCCTTGCGACAAGACTAGGATGGGAATGGGATGGTTTTTGTATGGTGAATTTTGCGAAAACATGCACCAAAA